AGCAATTTTTGCCTAAACTTTGCAATTTAAACTTAATTTGCTAAAATTCTGTGTTTTGAGAATAAACCTGTATAACGTGTTCAACTATAAAAAGCCTATAGTTTGATTGCTTCTAATCAGCTCTTTATTTAAGTAAAAATAATATTCCTGGGGAGCAACGCTGAAGATTATTCCACTCCCCTCTTCACCACGTTATGCACAAAATGGTGATAATGCCACTAGAGGTATACAGGTAAGGAAAGTTAATTATATTTATTGGGGTTTACTCACTAATTGTGAAAAAAGAACTTCAAATCTTCTGTCAAAATAGCCAACGTTTAACCAGACAAATCTACAATTCCAATGTTAGTTTTTCACAATTCACGGTTTGCAATTTATTGTTGCCAAAAATTTGTACTTAATTAGTTTTTTTATATTCATGGTAGAAGCCTGTATTGTAATTAGAGTTCCAAACTAGCGACTAAAGAGTTAATTTCAAGAAGTCCCTCTAAGTTCCCCGATGTGATCTATGGGAAGCTCTTGGTTATAAAAATATACACCTCTTAGTTGACTAAGTAGTTGGCTGGGAATGGGCCTGCAGGGATAGGCTGGTCTGGGACGGATGAGGACAAAAGTCTCCAGGGCTAATGTTATTTTAATTACTTAGGCCACCCTGGAAGTGATTTAGTCATTCCATAGGTATGTAAAGGGAGGGCTACACCTGCTGCAGAACTTCCAGGGGAGCTGTCAATCATCTGCCAGCGTTCCAGATTAATGATGGCTAACCTTTACAATTCCCATAAAGCTCAGACAGACTTTGGCCCACGTTTATCCTAACTGCTTCTCCATTGCCAAGGCTGTATGTTTTCTTTTTAATGAAGTTTTGGAATAACTTCATATCTAAAGTGTCCCTACTTGGGATCCAAAGCCCTGTGTTCTTCTTCTCTTGTAAATGCACCATTTTTCCAGGAGTTCCATATTGTTTGTGTCTCACACACATGCATGCTTCCAAACAGTCTCACTTTTGGCAGGACAGTCCTGATTTTGGAGTCCTGTCCCGTTACATAGTTACATAGCTGAAAAGAGACTTGCGTCCATCAATTTCAGCCTTCCTTACATATGTTTTTGCTGTTGATCCAAAAGAAGGCAAAAAAACCCTAGTCTGAAGCGCTTCCAATTTTGCAACAAACTCGGAAAAAATTCCTTCTTGACCCTAAAATAGCAGTCAAATGTCTCCTTGGATCAAGCAGCTATTACCCCACTAATTAGATATTATATCCTTGTGTGTTATGTTTTTGGAAGTATTTATCCAATTGCTGTTTAAGTAAACATCTGTTTGGACTCTGATAAAACCACAACTTCAGGCAGAGAATTCCATATCCTTATTGCTCCTACTGTAAAAAAAACCTTTTCTTTGCCTTAGATGAAATTTCCTTTCTTCCAGCCTAAATGTGTGATCTCGTGTCCTATGTATAGCCCTGTTCATGAATAGATTTCCAGATAATAGTTTGTACTGGCCCCGAATATATTTGTATAATGTTATCATATCTTTTTGGATTTTGTCAAGGCATTTGATACAGTTCCACACAATAGATTAGTGTTCAAACTCAAGGAAATCGGTCTAGATGAAAATGCTTGTTCTTGGGTAGAACATTGGCTTAAAAACAGAGTACAAAGAGTTGTCATTAATGGTAAATTTTCAAGCTGGACAGAGGTGGCAAGTGGTGTCCCTCAGGGGTCTGTTCTGGGACCCCTTCTATTTAACATGTTTATAAATGATCTTGAAGACCGCATTGAAAGTCATGTTTCAGTGTTTGCAGATGACACCAAACTTTGTAAAACAATACAATGTGAGCAAGATATTACTTTGCTGCAGAGGGATTTAGATAGACTGGGGGACTGGGCACTCAAATGGCAGATGAAATTTAATGTTGAAAAATGCAAAGTTATGCACTTCGGCGTAAAGAATACACAAGCAACGTATACCCTTAATGGAAGCGAATTAGGGATAACAACACATGAAAAGGACTTGGGAATTGTTATAGACAACAAACTATGCAACAATGTGCAATGTCAATCAGCAGTGGCCAAGGCCAGTAAGGTATTGTCATGCATGAAAAAGGGCATTCATTCTCGGGACAAGAATATAATTTTGCCTCTTTATAAATCACTGGTAAGACCCCATATTGAATATGCTGTGCAATTTTGGGCACCTGTTCTAAAGAAGGATATTATGGCACTAGAAAAAGTGCAGAGGCGGGCTACAAAATTAATAAAAGGAATGGAACATATCAGCTATGAAGAAAGGTTAACAAATTTAAACCTATTTAGTTTAGAAAAACGTCGCCTGAGAGGGGATATGATAACATTATACAAATATATTCGGGGCCAATACAAACCATTGTGTGGAAATCTATTCACAAACCGGACTTTACATAGGACACGAGGCCATGCGTTTAGACTGGAAGAAAGAAGATTTCGTCTAAGGCAAAGGAAAGGTTTTTTTACTGTAAGAACAATCAGGATGTGGAATTCTCTGCCTGAGGAAGTGGTTTTATCAGAGTCCATACAGATGTTCAAACGGCTACTAGATGAATACTTGCAAGAACAGAATATTCAAGGATATAATCTTTCAATGTAGGGTAATAACTGCTTGATCCAAGGATAAATCTGACTGCCATTCTGGGGTCAAGAAGGAAAATTGTACATCATATTCAAGGTGTGGTTTTACCAGCAATTTATAAAGAGGCAAAATGATATTTTCATCCTGAGAATTTATGCCCCTATTTATACATGACAAAACCTTACTGGCCTTAGCAACTGCAGATTGACATTGCATATTGCTGCCGTTGTCCCACTTCAGTTCCCTGGTGTCCTACATTATTAGGAAACTATCTCCGGGCAGCATGGGGAGAGCAAATTATTAGACGCACTTGCGCTGTGCAGCGGGCAGTAGGACCACATAGTTAGCCTTTTAGACAAGCTCCCTACATGGTCCGTATAGCTGGAGGCCGGTCTGGCTGACTGTCAGTGCCTTTTCAGTTGTGGGCATGCCCATTTTCTAAGTGAGTCCACCCTTTATGGGCGTCACTAGTGACATGTGTGAGGTCACTCACGATGTCCCCTTGTGGTCCCACCCGCCTGCCCCGATTTGCTGGTGTGATAGGTATGCACAGGGTTATATACTGAGAATTCAAAGTGAATCTCAAAATTAAAATTAAAATGGTAATGTTTGCATTGCAGGGGTAAGACAGCCTTCCAGACAGCCACTAGAGGCACTTCCTGTATTTTCTTTAATCCCGTGAAACATTGTTGGCCGTAATCATTCCGTGCATGAGCACTTCCAGCGTCTTCAAAATCCCCATGGGGACGCATTGATTCAAAGAGCTCACTACAGAAGCTGTAAGTCATGAGATTTGCAGAAAAGCATGGACTTCATATTATTATTTTCATACTATTATTTTGGAATATAGAGTCTATATGAAGGTCCCCAGATGTTGTATAGCTTCAACTTCCATGATTTAACTAAAAAGTGGTCAACCCAATCTGCAGGGCCCTCTTGAACTTTTCACAGCAATGAATTATAGCAGCGGTGCCAAAAAGGTAGATCCCCAGAACTTGTAGAACTACAACCCTCATGCATGATGCTTTGCATGCCTTTACGATGCTTTGGAATGACAGTTTAGTTTTAAAACAGCTGGGGATCTATATTTTGGGCACCCAGAATTATAGCATATATCTAGGGCTGCCAGTCCCAATATATATATATATATATATATATATATATATATATATATTGAAAACCTGCATTCAGTTGGGTAATAATGAAAAGTTCTGCCCCATAGCATAATGCACTTATAGACAGCGGGAGGGAATTAAGTTATTCTATAATGATATTTCCTATTAGATTTACAGGGCAGCACTCTTCATGGCCTGCCCATCAGCACGTTTAAGCAGTACGAGGGATCTGGCAGTCCTTTTACAGCTCACTTTTTGGGAGTGCACCAGTCAGGTTGGTATAATAAAGCGAAATAATGCCCTTGCTGGAAAGGGCAAAGATAAGAATATAAAAGAAATCTGGGGCATGTACAGTAAATAATGGTAACAATAGTATTTGAACAAGGAGACATTATTAACCCCAGAAAAAAAAGTAACATTTATGGCCCACGTGGACTATAATTGGTAACTGGCAACAGGAGGTCCTCGTCCCCAGCCAGTTGGCTTCCAACATGGCACCATTGGAAGATGCCAGTGATAGCACATCCAGGCAGGGAAGCAGAACATTTAAATAAAAAGCTTGGGTCTTTACCTTAGCAAGGAGGCTCTTTTTTTCCTCCTTTGTTTTACTGTCATCTTGGTGGTCGGTGGACATCTGTGGGATGTCTTCTTCACAGCAGAGGAAACTCACAGTGCATCCCATGCAGACTGCTAGGCAGATCCACCCACCCGATTGACCAGGTGGGCTTACAGGCTATTGAGCCACAGATATGAGTGCCAGTCTGGAGAACCAAGAATATGAATGACAGGCTAATGAACCCAGATTAATCATAAAACCAGACTTCTGACCCAAGGTTAGGAATTCCAGGTTGGTTAACCAAAGTCAGTGATGGCCACTCTGTGTTTCCGAATTAAAGATGCCAGGTAATTGGTGCCAGGCTCAGAAATCAAAGTTACATAAACCAGACTATTAACTTCATGACAGCGGTCACTGATGGTTGACTTCTCACTAGTGATGCTGGAATAGGATAAATAATCTTCCAAGGTTACAGAGTATTGAAAGGCAGTTTGAGTGAAGATAAACCCTGGGCTAGAGGAGATATCAAGCAAGTGATGAGAGACAATGGATTCTAGGCTTGTGATAATCTCAAATTTTCCAAATGTGGTCAATGATAATCTCAGATATTCCAAAACGTGGTCAGTAATAATCTCAGATATTCAAAAACAAGGTCAGTGATAATCTCAGATATTCCAAACCTGGTCAATGATAATCTCAGATATTCCAAAATGTGGAAAGTGAAACTCTCAAATATTCCAAGACTGGTCAGTTATAATCCCAGAATATCTAAAGCGGATTGGTGATAATCCCAGTGGTTCTAAACCAGGTCAGTGATAATCCCAGAAATTTTGAACCAAATCAGTGATAATCCCAGAGACTCTAAACCAGGCTGGAGGTGATACCAGTTAATTTAAATCAGACTAGTGACAAACCTTAAACCAGCATAGTGTAAAATTCAGGTATTCCAAAACTGGCAAGTATACAACCAAATACTCTAAACAAAATTAGTGTTAATCTCAGGTATTGTGGAGACAGGTTAGCAAAAATGTTTTTGTTATTTTAAAGGTATTTATAAATCTGGCTGTAAAATCAAAGATATTATAAAATAGGTTTGTTAAAAAATTCAGTCAGCCAAGCTAGTTTTAATTCCAAGTGGTCTGAGACAGACTAGCGATGGGCAAGGTGGTCTGCTCCAGGATAGTGATGGTCCAGATGACCTGAGCCAGGCTAGAATTGTCCCAGGTTGTCTGTTCCAGGATACTGATTGTCCAGGTGGTCTGTGCCAGGCTAGTGATGGTCCCAGGTGGACTGAGCCAGGCTAGTGATGGTCCAGGTGGTCTGAGCCAGGCTAGTGATGGTCCAGGTGGTCTGAGCCAGGCTAGTTTTGGTCCAGATGGACTGAGCCAAGCTAGTGAGGGTCCAGATAGTGTGAGCCAAGCTAGTGATGGCCCCGGGTGGTCTGAGCCAGGCTAGTGATTGTCCCAGGTGGATGAAGTCAGGCTAGTGATGGTCCAGGTGGTCTGAGACAGGCTAGTGATGGCCCCAGGTGCTCTGAGCCAGGATAGTGATTGTCCCAGGTGGACTAAGTCAGGCTAGTGATGGTCCAGGTGGTCTGAGCCAGGCTAGTGATGGTCCCAGGTGGCCTCTAGGTGGCCCATCCCAGGCAGGTAGAGGAAGCCCGCAGTGCCCATGGCTGGAGTTAGTTCTCTCCTCACTCACAGAGCAGGGAATGAGAAGGAGGGGGATTTGGTCTGGGACTTGCTTGTTTTTCTCTCCCCTCCCTGCTCCTCCTCCTCCCACTCTTCAGGAAGTCACAGGGGCTCAGAGATGTTCGCTTAGAAGATCTGACATTACAATGTCACACTCACCTCCCTGTCAGCCGTTCCCTCTCCCCGGCAGGTGGTCTCCCCAGTGCTTCATCTGCCTCCCCAAAACTCTGCCACCCTAATGCTCCCCTCTGCCTTCCCAATGCTCCCCCGTCCCTCTGCCACCCCAATGCTCCCCTCTATCTTCACAATGCTCCCCCTGTCCCACTGCTCCCCTCTACCTTCCCAATGCTCCCCCTGTCCCTCTGCCACCCCAATGCCTCCCCCGCCCTTTGCCTCCCCAATGCTCCTTCTACCTTCACAATGCCCCCCTGTCCCTCTGCCTCCCCAGCACTTCCACTTTCTCCCCTACCTTTCCACTGCTTCCCCTATCCCCCCTGTCCAAATGCCTCCCCCTGTCTCCCCTACCCTTCCACTGCTTCCCCAATCCCCCTTGTCCCTCTGCCGCTCCAATGCTCCCATTGTCCCTCTCTGCCTCCCTCGTGCAGGGGTGATTGCCTCCCCAATCACCCCTGCCGCCCTAGTGCTCCTACTGGCTGCCTCCCCAATCCCCCCTGCCCCCCCATGCCCCTCTCTGCCTCCCCGTGTTCCCACTGCCTCCCCAACCCCTGCCGCCCCAGTGCTCCTACTGGCTGCCTCCCTAATCCCCCCTGCCGCTCTGCCACCCCAATGCCTCTCTCTGCCTCCCCAGTGCTCCCACTGCCTCCCCAATCCCCCTGCCCCTCTGCCGCCCCAGTGCTCCTCTCTGCCTCCCCAGTGCTCCCTCTGCCCCTCTACCTCCCAATGCCCCTCTGCCTCCCTAATGAGTGACCGAGTGAATGGATTAATCCATTATAATTTTGCATGAAAACGTCATATGACAGTTAAATGGTTAATCCTAACCAGGATCAGGCATTGTTATCCTTTTTCATATTAAAGAGTTAATCGTTTTCAGTTTCAGTCAGGGTAATCCTTTTGCATGATTTTTTTTTCTTTTTAGCAATTAAAGGGTTAATGATTTTCTATATCACACAGGGTAATCCTTTTTGCATGAAAAAAAAATTCTAGGAATTAAAGTTTAAATCATTTTCAGTATCTGAAAAGGATGATCTGCTACTTATTGGGTTAATCCTTTTTACTCTCAGTAGGGATTCCCACACCGTTAGAAGATGGATAGAATAGTTAGAACATGTCACATTTAACTCATTCCATGACACTGTTTGCTGAACTGGTAGAAATGAATTGAGTTATAATATACAGCCACCATCAGAGGATGGGAGACACAGATCTGAGCCACATGTCACCCTCTGCAATAATGTATCACAATGTGAACTGCATCCTTGCATTGCTTCCTGTGTATAATTTGTCTGTCTACATGCACACTTCTGGCATTAAAACAGTTAAATCCACCAGTTGTGAGCTGCCTCTGTCTGTTTTATCAGTAAGGTTTAATGGCAGCAGTCTCACCCTTACCAGCAGATTTGTATTATTATTATTTATATAACGCCAACAAATACCGCAGCGCTGTACAAGGGGCTACATGAAATGCAGTGAGCGGGACACTGGCAGGGATACAGCGAGGGGAATGACAGGTTCTGGGAATAATTACCTAAATGAGAATTATATATTCACTCTGATTATAGGCTCTCGCACAGGCATAAACGTACAAAAAGTCATGAAAAGGCATTACTGAGAATATGTATAAAAGTATCACCGTGTGAATGTGACACAGTGGGGGTTGTGTATCAAACTGTCACAATTAACCCTTTAATTACTATATAAGTCGATAGCCCCCAGTGTTTGCACTAAATTACAAACTGTTTGCTGCTAGCAATCCATTCCCAGTGCGCCATCTGCACCGAGAGTGAATCATGATCTTACTATGGCTGGTTTATTTTGTTTCTTAGATGACGTATAAAAATAATTATTTATTTATAAAATATTTTACCAGGATGGATACATTGAGATTTCTCTCGTTTTCCAGTTTTCGAATGATCCGTAATTAGCCGTTTATTGCTGCAGTTTAACATGTCATCTTGTATTGTTAAAAAAGACAAACTGTGAGATTATAAAACCTTAGCCATTCTGCTTTATGCTGTTATGTTAAACCCATATAGAAATGATAGATTTCTACACTAACTACGTTGAAAAACAAATATGATGGATCAAGCTTCATGTTAGTTATAGCTCCATTATTTATCCATACAACATTGAGCTGTGTTATTCTTGCGGAGTGAAAATCTGTCATAAATTATTAAAGGAATAATCAGAGGATTATAATAATGTTTACAGTGGTTATGGTGCAAGGACCGTGGGTGCATGGGCTACAGTTTTTATGAAAGCATTTTTAGAGGTTGTTCTGCAATTCTCTTGGTACCAATGACTGCCCCCACTGTTGCGTCAAAATAAAGAGGAATTTCACTTAAATCTCTTTGGCAGCAAAGCCCCAGGCATGCACCATAAACACTCCTTACACCATAACCACTGCAATAAGCTGTAATTATATAATAAACTGTAATGATACAATAAGCTGTAATAATACAATTAGCTGTAACCATGCAATAATCAGCAACAATACAACAAGCTGTAATTATACCGTTAACTGTAATGATACAATTGCTTGTGATGATTAAAAAAAGCCGTAATAATATAAAAACTGTATATATGCTTTGAGCGTCCATTTAAAATAATTTCTGACCGGAGAAATCATGGAGTGGAGTCACTATAAACAGGGAACATGGCAAAGATCTAAAAAAAAAAATCTACACTATTACTTAAGGGAAAAGAATAAAAATTTAGATTGCAAAGCATACTGGACCAGATAAATGTGAGTTGAACTTGTTTTGTTGCAACTAGATTCAGTTTAGGAGATCACTAGATCGTCTGCTGTTTGCAACAATCGCTTATGGCAGATTAAAAAAAAAGAGAGAAATATATAAAAATGGTGACTTTATACCCTCTACATTATCTCGATAGGAGTTGATATGATTTATTGGCTGTTTTAGCCCAAAACATCTATTGCCTCTAAGCCATTAAATTATCCCTCACCCCGCCGCACACAGGGCCAGGTTATAGGACGGACTACTTCACTGGGCTCCCCTAAATCCCACAGGTATCTGGAACCCCGACAATCATTTCTCCAGTCCTCCTTCCACTGTGCATGGTTTTAGAGATAGAGAGATAGGTACAGCCGAGCAGCCTCCCTGGTTTACTGTTAGAATTTAATTAATGGACCACTCTAGGCACCCAGACCACTTCAGCTTAATGAAGTGGTCTGGGTGCCAGGTCCCTCTAGGATTAACCCATTTTTTTATAAACATAGCAGTTTCAGAGAACTGCTATGTTTATAAATGGGTTAATCCATCCTCCAAATCCTCATTGACAGCCGCTAGAGGCGCTTGCGTGATTCTCACTGTGAAAATCACAGTGAGAACACGCAAGTGTCCATAGGAAAGCATTATGAATGCTTTCCTATGAGACCGGCTGAATGCGCGCGCAGCTCTTGCCGCGCGTGCGCATTCAGCCGAATGGGAGGAGAGGAGGAGGATCGGAGGAGGAGAGCTCCCCGCCCGATGCTGGAAAAAAAGGTACGTTTTACCCCTTTTCTCTCCCCAGAGCCGGGCGGGAGTGGGACACTGAGGGATGGGGCACCCTCAGGGCCCTATAGTGCCAGGAAAACGAGTATGTTTTCCTGGCACTATAATGGTCCTTTAACAGGGCTATTCACCAAAGTGAGAATTCAATGTACATTTTAAATTTGAGGCAAAAGCAGCTGAACTGAAGGCTTAATGACCTTAAATTTGAAATTCACTTTGATTTCACGTCGAATCCTCACTTTAGTGATAAACTCTCAATATGTTTTTTGCCCTCTGGCAGTTCAATGCTACATTAATATATTATTTTATACATACATAGCTTCAATCTTAAGGAAGTAGGAAGCAAAGTCACATTTCTCAAGCCCAGCGTTATTCAGCAAATGGAAATCTACTAGAATCTTTGTTTTTAATATTTATTTATTGTTTGCATTTAATGATTTCCCAGGTTGTGACGTTTGTTTAAAATACATTGTGAAACCAAGCTCTTCCTCGTATTGAAGAAGCGGAAATCTTCCTTGGCACTGGGTATGCCAGCTTGCATCGATCATGTCTATCTTGGATGGCATTTATCAGTAACCTGCCACAAAGATCCATCTTTGTTGTAAATAGGTACGGAGTCTGTATTTAGAACGTCCTCTTCTTGCAGCGGTTGAGACAAAAACTAAATGATTTTTTGGAGTGTATCATTAATTCCTTTCAATAAATGCTATACTGTGATGAAGTTGTTTGTGTTAAAGAGAAACTGCCAAAAAATAAATCACTGTTTAGTAGATATACCCCCAATCACTTATATGTATTTAATTATGCATATTTTCATTGGGATATATCTAAAAACAGCGTGTAAAAGCTGCAGTTCTCTTGTCAGAAGCCTTTGTAAACCCTCCCCTTCTAGCCCCGCCCAGGATTTCTGTGACTGTCCAATCTTTTCTGTCCAATGAGAAATCTTTGCAAGGCAGGTGCTCTGGGCAATTGTTGACTCTTGACTTTAGCTTCACTGAGTGAAACAACAAGGAAGTAAAAGGAGCGGTTGTCTGGTTGACATCTAGGGAGGCGTAACCAGGTTAATTTATAAAAGTGTACATTTCTACTGAAATCTACACTTTTTGTAAAATGAAAGGACGTACTCTTCACACATAAATCATTTCAGCGAGCTACAATGCTAGGTGTTTGGAGTGTCTCTATAAGGATACCACTATGTCTATTCACTAAACAGGAAATTGTGGCCAACTGGCAAAGGGATTGAACATTTTAGGCTAACATAACTGAGCTGGTAAAATAGTGAAGGTTAATTCACCTTAGGGATGTGCATGGGCAAAAA